TTAAAAAAATTGGTCATTGAGCCATAAAATAAACAAGCTCAAAGCACGGCCTCATGAGACTTGTTTTAAATTCAATAAAAGCCCAGGCATCATCTACATAGAGTGCATGTGTAAAAAAAATCTGCATCTTCAGCTCAAATTGGCCTGCAACACTACTCCATTTTTTTATGATTGGACAAGGGATAGGGCCCATAACCTTATGTTAACACATATTTGTTCAGTTCTTTGCCTTCAAGTACAAAAAGGACGTGCGATATAAAGGGTCACAATAATTACGTCAAATGTAACATTGGAGCAAACAGCCCGAGATGCATAGTGAATGTCCTTGGCCTGTTGCTGCCACTGCAATTTGTGTCCCCATCAGTTGATACACTTTGCAAAACCTAAAACTGAGTTGGACAAACCAAAGTCGGCCCAGTCGATTACTTGATGGCCGTTGTAATCACTTGAAAATAACACCTCTGGTGTGTTTTTAACTGCCGCCTCTTTACAAACTACCATTCGAGAAAATCGGACTTGTTTCAAGGTGCAAATGCCAATTGCGATGGACTTGTACAACTGTGGCAGCATTCACTGCCATGCATCATTCATATACCACGAGTCCTCGCTCAACGCATGTTTAGACAATGCATTTTCTCCACAAAACGGTTCTTCCATAAGGGAAGAATTTTCGCACAATGCAAAGCGCGCACCATTGTGACGCAGTTTCTGTCTGGTCGATGACGAACTACTTTCTTCAGCTGCGTGGCTGAGCAGAATGGAAATTCGGGGTGTATGCACGGAATGATATACGGCACACAGCGGCGTTCCCTCATCTCAGTTCATAATAAACGTTTTTGGGTTAGATCGCGTTATTAAAAAAAATGTGTCGTAACCCTCCACTACACCCGACACGACCAATTAGTAAAAAAGTGTCACTTTGACAAAAGACAAATAGTTCACTACTTTAGCCCACCGGTGTGTTGAAGAGTGAATCCACAACATTTACAGTTTTTTCAGTACGACGTTTCGCTGGTAATTACATCCAGCATCAAAGGGCAATTCGCCAGAATGGTGAAGCCCTCACTTGCGAATTGCCTGATGATGCTGGATGTAATTACCAGTGAAACGTCGTACTAAAAAAACTGTAAATGTTGTGGATTCACTCGTCAACACACCGATGGGCTAAAGTAGTGAACTATTTGTCTTTTGTCAACGTGACACTTTTTTGCCGATTGGCCGTGTCGGGTGGTGGAGGGTTACGACACATTTATAAATAACGAGATCTAACCCAAAAACGTTTATTATGAACTAGCTTTACTACCCAGCTTCGCCCGGGACTTGGATTCATCACGCCCGGCCGCCTTTGTCTCCCCAGCGGCGATGTTCACACACCACACTAGTTAATCGTTTGAGGCCGAGTCGACCTAGGGGAGGCCCAGGACCGGTTAAAATAATCGTCACCGGTGGAGGCCGTGAGCGGGAATCGAACTCGGGTCGCCGAGTTCGTAGCGCAGCGCGCAAACCACTACACTACAATGTGTTACGCTTCCACATGCGTGGGTCACGTGACAGATTTGACGTCACAGCTCACTTGCCGTGCAAAAAATATATGCATTATTGAGCTCTCCCCCCCCCCCCCCCCCCAAAATAAAAAACAAAAGTGTATTTTTATAAATTTTGCATGGTGTACAGTCTGGAAAGTACCCACATGGCAAATTTCCAGTTTGTTGCATGTCGGGAAGTACGCTAAACATTTCGAACAGACACACATATTCACAACTTTTATATATATGGAGATAATATTGGTCGCGAAAGCCTACGTGCTAAACTCATCCCAGTTCTTTGCCCCCACCATGGAATGACTGCAGAGTCCGTCGCTTACGTTATCATTCCGCGCACCGAATCAGACCACTCAGCCGTGCAGCTCAAGAAATGAGTTAGTCGTCGACCGCGCGGATAAGGCACGAAAACGGACGCATCCCGCATTGTACGAATAGTGTTCACTAATAATAGAATAGTCTTATAGCTAAAACACGTGTGAAAATGGGTTTAATGAAGACTCACCGCAATGTAAGAGGGGAACAAATAAACAAAAATGATGACACCATCCAAACTCCACAAACAATGAAATAAACTTTCCTCTAGACAGGGTAAAAACACTTGAATGCTAATGATTGTGAGAGACACGAATATAGTCGAAGTATAGACCACAATTGTAATTGTTCTCTGCACAGTACACCAACGTGAACACTTTTAAGCAATAATGGAAGCAGCAAAACGTATTAATTTTGGATGCCCAATTTTAAAAAGTGATTTCAAATTTATATCATAACTGCATCACAGGTGCGACATTAAGCGCAAGTAGCAGTTTCACGGAATTCAACAACATTCCAGATAACTGTACACAGATGAATGCCTAGGACGAGGCGCGAGGTAATTGAGGTCCACGCATGCATGCTGTAAATTAACGGAATTGAAGGATAATTTAACGCTTCCATCGGGGGGCCATCAGCATGAAAAAAAACAAGACATCTGTACGAAATCCATAGGTCATCGCTTTCATTTGCCTTTCAAAATTTTCACAATTTGCATACATTAAATCAAAGCCATAATTATGTGACATTCACTTCGCCTTTTCTCAGAGTGCTCACGAAATCACTGTTGGCTATTGCGGTCTTTAACACCGACCAAACCACATTTGCTGTCGATTATAAATGAAGCAAACTTTCAACGGGCATACTATTTTCGTGTGACAATCGTGGGATGTTAAAAGTATAGAAAAAAAGCGAGAATATATTTGCAATCTTATTTAAATGTATTACGTTTTGCAGATTAATTCAGCAATTGCCAATAAACACAAGATAGTACTCGAGTCTTTCAGAACTCCAGCAGACAATTAAAATTTTGAAATTGCCACCCAACCGGAAATGAAACAAAGGGCTCAAACCTATTCTGCAACTTTTAAACCCCACTATAAGGACTGCAAGGCACATCAGCATGTTAACATTTTATAAAGAAGTAACAGGCTCAGATTCCAACAGAACAGTTTGCTGGAGAATCTCAATTGGTCATCTCTCAGTTCAACCTCCACTGATATGTGCATCGCATTTGTGTGTTTTGATGCAGATGGAAGTTGTGGGACATCTTAACAATCTGGTTAAGATTCAAATATGCAAAAAATATTTATGATTGTAATTATACAGCAAAAAATATCTGAAACCGGTTTCAGAATTATAATATTTTAATTACGTGACTTTCATCAGCTTAACCGAGTTAAATTGCAAATGGATATAGCCAAGGCATTTTAATAAAAACACATTATTAATGTTCATGTGGATTTTTGTTTATTAGCCACCGACTAGATTATGTATTATAACAATTAAAAATGAATTAAACATTTTAACCAGCAACATTAACATGAATGAATAACATTAGTTGTGGAGGTTTACTATTTTGTTTTGGCTTGTTCCATGCATTGATATCTCTTCCGATTCATTCGTTGTAATGTTTTTGTGTTCATGCTGACAATAATTTTGCCATCGATTTATTTTACAGCTGTAACTGTTTCATGTCTTCTTATTCTTACCTGCTAATACAGTTCTAGCGAGTGATGCTTTAGTTGAACAACACATTACATTAAAACAAAAACATGTATTTAATTAAATTGCCTAACTTTAGCAGTTAAACAGGTTAACAAAAAAACAACCCCTCATAATGTTGGTATATTTCTACACTCCCGTTGGGGCGGCGCTTTTGACTGCAAATACAAGTTGTCATCTGCTCGCGACAAACGATAACAAATGGCATTGCGATCCCCCCCACCTCACTCTCGTCGCCTCCTCCAAACATGCACCGTTGCACACACAATGTGGTGACCACTCACTTATCTATCCCATTGCAACGTGCAGATGGAAATGAGGTGGTGGTTGCAAAACTTAATTCCCACCATTAAACGTGTTTTTATGCCCGCTCACCAGGTCAGGTCACACCCCCTCTCAAAAGCCACACCTGCATTTTGGAAATGGGATTTCTTTTTTTACTTTCCTGAATTTGTAGTGCATTGCTCATCATCAAATGTAATACTTTTGCTTCTCTGCACTCCCTACACGATTTTAAATATTTTGGTAGCTGTACTTTACCAATATATAAATGTATTTCCATAAAGCAATGGTTGTACCAAGATGATGATTTAGCCGAGAGGTATACTGATGGTTCCTGACACAGTATAGTTAGTGCACTGAACTTGCAAGCCAGAGGTTGCCAGTTCAACCTCTCAGCGCGGCATTTGAAATGGACACATTTCTTAAATCTTCTGGCCTCTCAACTGTACAATTGTGGAATGCTTTGATGTCTGTCAGCCGAGTCGCCCTTGAAAAAGAGCTTATTAGCGCAGTGGGCTTTACTCAGGCAATACACTGCTAAAATGGGGTACATCACAGTTAATCGATCGGCAGGTCGCGCGTGATGGGGTTAAGGTTGGTGCTTTGACATTTTCCAAGACATCTGGCCAGCGAGAAATAGCAAGTAGGCCAAATACTCTCTAGTGGGGGCTCTCCTCAAGTGGAAGCCCTCCCCACCTGCAATGGCATGATTAATCAGTTAACCCGTTTCCGTTCCGATGATGTACGTCATCAGTTTTTCTTCTGATTCCGTTCAGATGACATAAGTATACATCATCAAAACGAAACCGGAAGCAAAACTAAATAACAAAAAAAAATATTGGCTACCGAGGCTCCCAGAAGGCCATGCAGGAGGGCGTGTGGCAGTTTGGCGCCAGCTGTCAAGAGTGCGGTCATGTCGCTACAGTTCTCTGAGGTGAGTACAATGTATCTTAAAAAAACGGCGCTATGCCTCCTGAAATAAAATGTATGCTGAGCCACTTGCACGGTCCGAGATTCAGAGGTGAACGGGATCCACCCTGCAACTTGCAGACGTGTAGGGAATGGGAAAGGGTTAATTAAGGCTGCCCCTAGTAACACGTGGATGATTTAGCCGAATGACTGCAATGGAGGCCTCACCGGATGAAGGATAGTCCCCAAGATATTCTGGTTGGACACCCCTTCCAGGACGATCTGCACATCGCGCTGCAGCAGACGCGACTCGGTGAAGAACTTTGCCTCTGCTGCGAACGGCTCTGGTGTCTCCGTGCCATCGGCCTCGCGCTTAAACATGGGGCACTGCAAGAAACGGACACTGTCATTCAGCACTCGCGTGGTCCCGCGTGATACCAATCCTCCCCGCCCCACCCACCAGCATTCACCACTCCACCGAGCCAGACCAACAATTGTCCTAAATCGCAGCTGAAATTCTGACCTGTAAGGTGACGTATTTCTGAATAAAAGTGCAATTTGTCAATTGTAAAATTTCAACATGACCATCAGCCATGGTTATATCCACCGTCTCTCATGATCTCGTGATGTGACAATCCCGCCCAGTGCCTGCACCACTGGTTGATTTCATCGCTCCGTCTCCTAGGTTTACAGCCTCTAGGCTGTGTTTAATTCCACATAAATATAAGCAATGTGCTTTCCTGTGTTTTAACACTGTCCCTTAATGTGAATAAAATAACATGTTTTTAAAAAATAATAATAAATAATACCTTCAAATAAGATGTATTTAACCAGGATAAACCTTTAGATTCTCATTCCAAGGGATCTCAAGAAAATGGAAGCAGCTCAATAGTCACAATTAGACTTTAAAGAGAAGAAAAACAACATAAAGAGATAACCAATCAATAATACGTGTCAGAATAATAAATAGGCCATTTTAGAAGTCATTAAACTGAAAAAAAATAACGATTTTATTTGGGAGGTTTTATTAAACTAAAAGAAATATATGCAATTTACAAAAAACGCATTTGAAAAGTAGAAAAAAACACAAGGTAATATAATTGTTCTTTCACAATTATATCCACAACTGTTAAAGAAACACTAAATACCCCAAGAACCTTTTTTCTTTTAACCTATCTATATGACTTTACCGAAAGACCCATGAATGCCTATATTGCACATTATTATTCGGGGCCAATACAATTGTTGTAAATGGCGGGGGGGGGGGCGAACCCTTTAAAGTTCCATTAACGGCACACCGGTCTACGTCACCTCCCACAAACGTACGCCGGGCACTATAGAGATTCACGCAGCGTCGTATAATTTCCCTCATGAACTCGATCGCAACGCAACATTATCCCCAGATTAGCAATCCTGCCGATGTTAAGGCACGAAATATCCCACGGGGCATTGTTCGTGGTGACCGCGGGAGGACCGATGCGGGGGGTGGGTTACCTTGACTCCAGAGAGCATCACAGTCACCATGAAGTTGTCTGGCAGCAGCAGGGCACGGAACGTGCAGCCATCGCGCACATGCTCAATTATGGCTGCGAAAAACAGAGAACAAAATCCAATACAAGTTCATTTGCCAAATAACCTCACAGCAAACAGCTTTTTATAATTTCCTGCGATCCATTCCAATTAACCTTAAATTACTTGGCTCAATCAAATGAATATTGATAACTTTCATGAATGTGTTATTAATTTCAGGCTACGTTTTTTTAATTTGACGCTTTTTTTTGGTTGATAAATACATTAGCATGAAGTTAAATTCATGATTTGATCTCTCACATGAATCAATGCAGAATAAAGCTCTTGAAGGAGGAAAAAAATATGCTTCAGAATGGATGAAAACACACTGCCCCGTGGCTATGAAGAGGCTATAGAAACTTCACGGTTGAGTTTAAACCAATTACGGTTACAAAAAATAGTGCACTGAATAAAAAAACATAGCATTCTGCAAGCGCACCGTTCACTGGGTTCTGGTGAAAGGAGTCCACAAAGTGACGGGGATTTTCCACGGTGTATTTGAGGTCGCGCGTGGTTTGCGAGCCCGTGCCCTCTCCCCAGACGCCCTTCTTCTGCGCCTTCGCCTGGTCTTCCAAGTCGCACAAGCGGGCTTGGTCTTGGCTGCACATAAAGATGAAGATTTCCTTGTTATAACCTTATGATATACAAATTCTATGGGAACCTCATTTGCCAGTAAAAATATGATAATTGGTTCTTTACCCTTCTATCTGGCAACAAATTTGACACCTTTGTAAAAAGGTGTAGATGCTTGCCCCGAGCTCTCATACTCTGATGGTGCATTGTCTTTGAGTTGTGCGCCTTTTGGCGTCATCTGGTCCAACCCATGTGAGACTAGGCTCTAAGGAAAGCTGTCTCGGGTGTGGACCAATCAACTTCAAGGACAGTGCACATTATCAGAGTTATGTCTTTTGTTTGTATTATGACTGCAGGTATTGCGGTCTATGCAAACATGACTCCTTGTAAAAAGGTGTCAGTTTTGTTGCCAGATAGAAGGGTAAAAAAACAATTATGATATACAAATTGTTGAGACTAAAGTGCTATTCGTGAGCACCAATTATTTTAAGCCCTGCACAGAGCATATGGGTGTGGTCAGCACAATGCCTTTGATTCCCCAATGCTGATGTTTACAAATTAACACCAGGTACTCATTTAAGGGTCGAATTGACCAAGCACGCATATGCACACACAAAGCATGCACAAAAACAAACGACTCCCTCGCGTAGCCACGGTAAACTATTACGGAAAGTGTTTGTTAGCAAGCGCCTATTGTGGCAGGTACATCACACGAGGATGAGCAGCTTGCCCGCCTCAATCGTATGCCAAATTTTTTTAGTGTACACACTGCACCAGGTACTCATTGTAGGCCACTGTGAATTAAGGCTACCACCGGGCCAGTTTTAAATAACCAATTTCCTTTGCCTTGCATGGCTAGGAATCAAACACGAGTTACCAAGATTAGGGTGTGCTCTGCACCAACAGCTACGTGATTGCTCCCAACTACACACATCAGGTCACACACGCGTGGGCATGAAATATCTGCATTCACAGAAACGAGCAAAGCACGTGCATCAAATTGCAAATAAACAAACCGCACAAAGCTAGAGCCTGCACCCCCCCCCCCCCTAACTGCCTTTTCAGCAAACCTAACCAACCATGGCATCCACACGCCAGCAGTGCCAATACCGCGTAATGTCAGAGACCCCTCTCTCTATGAAAAAGAAACTGGCCAATCGCTCAAACGCGCACGCTCGCAAGCGAGCGCGCACGTGTGAGCACGCACAAGCACCTGCCTTATTCACATAAATGAGCGTTTTCTTCTCGCCTGTTGGGTGAGCGAGATTTTTTTTTTGGAATACATACATATGTATAGTGCACTGTGAACAGGTTCATGTTTAAACACCAAAACAAATATATAAACGCACATTTGATTCAAAAGGGTCGTCGGCTTGAAATCCACTGTGGATGGATTTCAACTGAAGTCTATATAGCCCGCTCACCGTGGTAAAGGAGTAGCTAATGGATTTGCGGACACTGACTTTTCTCAAGTCTTCAGTGCCAGATAACATGGCTATGAGGGATGGGGAGGCGTTTGGTGCAGGCTTCACCACTTTGAATCGATTAGGCGGTGCAGAGAGCACAAATTCAAAATGCGGCGCTGCTTTCGTCAAAAGGATACGAACATTTTGTTATCTGCTCGTGGAAGTACCCATCGCTTATTGACAGCATAGCCCCCCCCCACTACCCCCCCCATATCCCCCCCCACTACCCTCCCCCCCATATCCCCCCCCACTACCCCCCCCCATATCCCCTCTCCCCACCACTGGGTTTCCCCCCCCCCCCCCCATCACACATCAGTGACAATCCAGTATGATTTACATCAAACAAGTGGGTACTCCAATCTCTTCCGAGATGTCTCGACATCTCAATACCCTCCACAGGGGATCTCTAGGAGCTCCCTCTAGTGGAAGCCCTTCTGCCAGCAGTGACGTGAACATGTAATAGCAGGGCTGCACTCATATACTTGTAATTAACATGAACCAAAAACTGAGCAATGGTTCCTACATGAGCATATTGTTTGCATACAAGTCATCTGGATTCTACAGCATAAAATAATTTTCTAAATAATGTACTGCCCTCCATCAATCCACTGGTGGATAAAGACCTCTGCATGCCATGTCAGTCATGGGTTTTTTTTTTTTACCTTATTTTACCACGCTGGTGAAGGAGGGTAGGATTGCCACGGCTGGTTTAAATATCACTCGCCACAGATGTTAGCCATCGCTGGGGAAAATAAAACTAAGGTGTCCGGGGCTAAGTAGTGCCGCACGCACGAACCACTGCAGCACCGCCCCTCCGGTGATAAATCTCTTGCAGTGATTCGTGTGGTGGCTACAACAAAACAATCATTCCACAAGTCTCAGGAGGGCAGGTCTGGCATATCAGCCAAACTCGCATCTATAGGGGCCGAAGTCTCCCACCACCCCCGCTCCCCAGGATTAAGTAGTTACCCTCCCTTCGCTACTGCACTGCCACCAACTGAATTCATTGCCACTCGCCTTTGCAATTCTGTAATTCACGTCTGGTCACCGAAGTAAAGAGAGGTTCACTGTATTGCATGGCGGTTGTGAAAACAATTCTAAGTGTTAGCTCTTCGGCGTGTTTTCCGGTTGGATATCGCGCATTGCTCCGCATCATGTCCGTTTCACTCCACGGTATTCGGAGCTTCTTCACATGCACAGTGAAACGCCGGACATCGTGCCGAACAACACACGATAGCAACTAAAGCCATGTTGGAGAGCTATGCGGCCACAACCGTGAAAACCTACGCAGTAGCAATAGTTCCAAGTATAGACCAGCGTAATGTAAGACCCTCGAAATCGAAACTCCAAAGACTGCCCATGGATCAACTTGGGAACATGTGTCACGTGTCTTTTCAAGAGCATGAGAGTATCGCGGACAGTGGTTATGCTGCGGAAAAATAATATGCACTAATACATTTGGAACCATTCCCCAAGGCTCCAGTTTGTTGGAATGCTGGCTTGACGGAGTGGCCGACGATCACAAACCGCAGCTTCTACATTTCCTAATAAGTGAACATGCCTGTCCACATACATAAGCATATCGCCGTAACGGCCAGAAAAGCTCTAAAATGATGTGAAAATCAATGCCCCAATATGACATTTTAATGCCTAATATATTCAAACATGTTATTACTTTAAATGTTGCTGTTCCAATAAAAATTGGAATGGCGTGCGAGTACATGTTCGTACCGTCCAAAGAATTTTCACATGAATTTGTTGCAGTTGAGAACCATTGTTAAGCTACTGCTAGATGAAGGCCCTCTCCATGGCATGTAGCTCAGGGGTTGTTGTTTTGACCATACTTCACGACGTTAGTCAGCGGATGTCGGTGGAGGCAGGGACACATATGTGGGAGCATAGACGTGAAATAGAATGGATTTTCCTGCACTGTTCTCTGCTGCCCACAACACAGCACTGCAACCGATAACACTCGTATGTATGTATGCTGATATTCTTCCGCACCGTACGTAACCAACCATGTTAATCGGAGATGCGGGGGAAAGACAAAAATGCATTTTCAAGGTCATATTTTGTTGTCCTGCACTTGACAATTGTGATTTTGATTATTAGAATTTCTTCAACATGCATGTAACTTAAATACACAAAAGACACATTGTGAAGAAATTAAATTATGCAATTAAATGAATGCATGAAAATTGCACAAGCACAAAGTGATATTCAAATTCTGGAATAACTTTGCTCGGTGCATTTGAAATGATGCATAATCTTTGCTTTTCAGACATGTGACTTGGGAATCGATTGTGTTTTCCCTTGTAATGTATAGTTAATTTCAGTTTACGAGGTCAAACAACAATAATAGGCAGTGCTGTCTCTTATGTAAGAGTTGTAAATTGAGAACAATAGGATACTAAAACATTAGAAAAAATACAATGCTTTTATTCTATCTTGACCAAAACACAGCTTTTTTTAAACTAAAGCATGGGAAGAAATGTTGAATTCTTCCAGCAGCAAAAATTACATTTGAAAGATGACCATGCACTTCACACACCTAGGAGAATGTAGTATTTATCATAAAAGTACAATAATCATTATCACGGCACTATTTTGTCCAAAACAACTTAAAATACAAAAATATTAATTGTTTAACCTTACAGACTGTGTAGGTAACTTTTTTCTTTACGGTTTCTGAGCACAGACCTGAAGGCCCAAACGCTGAGTGGCCAGTAACAAACAGAACTACCGAAGGTGTAAGAGATAAAAACATTTCTTGAATTGGTTGAGAACTTACTAAAACTAGTGTGCACTTCCTGGCCACGTGAAGTCACACGTGTCACTCGACTTCTTAAAGCCACAGCGCCATGTGCACGAACGTTTTAATGGCACATGGCATCGTGACATCATAACGCCTGTACATCATCATTATCAGCCAGGATCTGTCCACTGCTGGATGAAGGCCTCTCCACACCACCACCACCACCACCATCCCCCAAAGTCATGTGATGCAACAATTCATCCGAGCTCCGGTACACGAGCTTATCTCCATGCTCCATCTCCTCGGTGGACATCCTCTCGGGCGTGTCTCTCCTTGGACTGCCACCCGATCATTAGTCTCGACCACCAACTATCATCCCCACTGACTTTTATTGTTAACAGTCAATATAATAATGAATTGCACACTTAAGGCTTTTCCAGCAAAAATTCTGATTCACAATTGGTTTCTTCTGGGTCAGACCGCATGTTGTTAGGTCAATAAGAGCCATCACCCTCCACCACCCGACACAGCCAAATCAAGTTGTCATGTAGAAAAATGTGCCAATTGATTGTTTTCCAGCAAAACGCTTAGCTGCCAAGATCCGGTGAGAGCAAGTGCCTTCAGGGTGATTTTGTCATAAGCAAACCACTCTCAACTATACTACCAAAACACATCGTTGTTGCGTTACTGGAAGAAATTTGTCGAGCATTGCCTTTTGTTTAACATCGTCATCATCTTCAGCTAAAAAAACGTCAAATGTTCAGTGCCACGACGCGGCAGCTCAAAACGGTGCACGGAGCCCCTTGTGGCTACAGATGAACGTACGATACCACGACAACGTCTATGCGGCGACGTACTTGCTCGTTCGGATTCCCTCTCGGCGTACGGACACCAAGCCCTCAATCACCAAAGACTCCGTCACGTTCTCCCCGCTCGTGTCTGCGGACGGGAATAAGACAACTCAATTTGAGCAACGCAAAGCAGCTGCGAAACGACAAATCTGTGAAACTACGATTTTTGCAGCTACCTAATCTCTGCAAACCTGGCAATTGTCTAGAAAAGGCCGTGACACAAGGATGGTAAGCAGCCCTGGCCAACAGAGTTTGATTTCCAGCCATATATAACCCATTCCAAGACGTCTGCAAGTTGCAGGGTGGGTCTCGTTCATGGCTCAATCTCGGAACGCGCAAGTGATTAGCGTTAATTGTATTTAGAGAGGCGTAGCACTGCTGTTTTTAAAGACATTGTCCTGTACTCACCGCAAAGAACTGTATGTAGCGACACAACCACACTCTAGGATAGCTGGCGCCAAACTGTGTCACACGCCCTCCCGCTTGGCCTTTTACTTCTGATTCCGTTCCGATGACGGACGTTAACATGAGCATGCAGCGACATCCGAACCGGTCCTGGGCCTCCTCTTCACCAATCAGCACGGACCACAGTGGTGAATTATGGTCAAACAATCCCCACAACGTACAGTGTGGGGTCGTCTTCTTCCACCGACAAGATTCACAAATCGTTGAAAATTATTATCATTACTGTATTATTCACTTTTATTATTGTACTGCACAAAACCCACACTTGTAAATGCAAACACCATGAGCAGACATGGATATAACGAAGATCAAACTATGAATAAACGCATATGCACCCTTGATGCAAATTATTTACTTTTTACGTAACGTCCCTTCTGAGTAAAATGGAATTTTACTTTTGGTATTTGGCAATGTGCATACTTGGGCCAACGTGCTCTAATGTGCTTTCCAAGGCACAATAATGCAGACTTATAGTTGTAACATTCATGTTGTTTTAAACACTGCAATGTCTAATCTTTTCAGCAATTTGTTTATTGCTGGGGTTGGATCATTTACACGATGTAAAAATGTCACGTGTTTTCGTGATTACAAAAGTGACTTCACGCGACACTGATGCCACTTTCCGTGGGAAAAGCGTAGGATGTGAAGTGACCGAAGTTACATCACGCTCAGTAACATATTCTAAGATCAATCTAAAACAATTTGTATTTTCATTTGTGAAATATATCTAGGCGAATTTTTTTGTTTTTTTCAGCTTAAGAGTAAAATCCTGTAAACATCTCTGAAAAATAAATACAGTAAAACCTTGGATTGCGAGTAACTTGGTCTGCGAGTGTTTTGCAAGACGAGCAATTTTTTAAATTAATATTAATTTGATAAACGAGCGAGGTCTTGCAATATGAGTACTGTAGTACGTACAGTATACGCTTTGTCTGCCGAGCGTCACGTGATCACAACTGAGCCGATGGTTCTTCTCTCTCTCGCTGCGGGATTGTGGGTAATCGTCTCCCATGCTCGGGTCTCAGTCTACTCACTCGTATAGCCAACATCCGTGCGAGCGTATACTGTTTACTATAGTGTTGTGACAACGAGTGTGCGTAAAGCGTTTTTTTCTTTTGTGTCCAAGTGTAGTGACTGCTCTTTAGTAACTGTACTGCAAGTGAAAGTCATCCTACACAATAACCCTCCTCTCCTCTCTCTCGTCTCCCTCACTCCAGCCACGATTAAATTTAAATAATAAATTTTATTACTTTATATTAAATTTAAATCATGAATATATAAAAAGGTATTTTGTATTCATAATTTTTATATGAATACAGTATTTTTGGGTTGTGGCACGAATCATCTTAGTTTCCATTATTTCTTATGGGGAAATTCGCTTTGATATACGAGTGTTTTGGATTACGAACGTTTCCGGAACGAAATATGCTCGCAATCCAAGGTTTTACTGTACCTTGTCGGAGACAGTATTCTATGAATTCGAATTAAAAGCCAAGCAGTAATTTTTGTAAGCTTTTTTTTCAACAAATAAATATTTTGCTGTGCTTTTGCTTAGATTTGGTGAGGGGAGAACATTCGGTCTCACCTTTACCGATGTAGACCATTCCATATTCACGCCCGGCAGGAGCCTTGTACTCCACAACGAAGCACACCTCCTTCCCGATCAACTTCTTCCGCAAGAACTCGCGCGCTGGGAAAGCCCACGGCTGTTGGGCGCAGCAATAAAACAACAATGATGGGGGGAGGTCAGACCCAATTGCAAACACCAGTCCCCACTATCGACGACAAGCAGTCCGGATGGAAAATGTGCACTTAAGGTTGTGCCACTGCAATCCTAAATTTTTCAGCAGAATATTTCTAGTACGAATCAAATGAAAAAAAAACGTTTAAGTATTAAAGGCTGCCACGTCTACATACTTTCTTTTACTTGTGGCTGATGTTGATGTAGAGCAGTGTTCTTCATTGCAAGGCCCGCAGGCCACTAGCGAGCCCCTGGTGGCCTTTAGTGCGGCCCCTGACGTGCGGCCCGCGACAATACACAAATGTGAAAACACATCATGCTGTCAAACCCAATGGTTTCAAATGTGTGGCAGTCCTCACACCGACGTCTTATCGGCAAAAATGGCCCCCCTATAAAATGAGTGAAGAATATTGATGCATAGCAACAACTAACATCTTACATTTGGATGATTGAGCCAGATAACGGGGTCAGGAGTAACGGGAGTACGTATTGCTGAGATGCCTGGTTCATATTTGTGAATCGAGCAACGAGTTGTTATACATGTTCTATGGTCTGTTCTGGAGTGATATACAACACAATCGCGGAAGACCTAGGTTCGTTTAAGTTACAATTATGCATGAAATACATTCAGTACCTTCATGATAGAAATAAAACGGCAGTGACAATTTGTTGCCACTGTGGAGCAAAGGAGCAATTTCAGCTGGGGATGAACTTGAGATTAAGGGAAATGTAACTTATTCAAGGCTTTATTCCATGAAACATCCAAGGAGGACATGGAAAAACATCTTTGAAATTCAGTTTGCCTACGGCCATAATGTCCTGCTGCCAAATGCTGTTCCTGTTGGACACGAGTTTTTACCATGCACATGGGAAAAAAGACGTGTTTACAGCAGCTGCTGCTATACACGTGGCAGCAAACCAGCCACACTTGCACATGCTCAAAGCAAACGCACGCCGGTCAAATGGAAACACCAGCCATCTCCTGCAGCCCCAAAGTGCCCCCACCTATAAAGTTACACACGTGTTAGTCCGAAGCCAAAAATGAAAACACATCTGCAGAACGCACATCGCATCAACAACAAATTGTTTGGCAACTGACGAACGCGTTGAGTATCGAAAGAAGACGGGGGGGGGGGGGGGAATAGGTATTTTTTTGTTTCATTCACGTACTTGCTTTAACTCCCCCAATCTTGAGTTACAAAATTCGCGAGTGACAAGTGAAAAGCGAAATCTACTTTCGGAGCAATAAAATTCGTGTTACAAAATTGGCCCTCTCAGACGCAGCTCCGTGACAGTCAACGGCATCATCCACCAAGCCCGGACACAAATGCTTCAGTGGATAAAGGTACAGTCCTGCAATTTCTTGCTCATGCCACATCTGGTGGAAGGACCTCCCACTAAAGAGAACTCAAGAAAGTCCGCCTCTAGAGGGCATTTATACTATTTGGCTATTTGCCACACATTTGCCAGCTGCCACGTATCCGGGAAGTGGGGGTTACCCACACTTTACCACACCACACACAATGCACTCGGTTGACGGAAGCGGAGGGGATTTAAGAAACGTGCCCATATTTTCGGTGTTCATATATACAAGTAGAGTATCTGTGGGTTTTCACACCTGATGATGATTGCTTGTGCTGCAATCGAAACGTCGTGAGAATTGTATTGTTTTATTTTTATTATTTTATTATTTCCCTTCTACGTGACTTTACCGAAAGAACCAAAAATATTCTGATTCTCTCTCTCGGTGTAATTCCAAACATGCTCCGTTGCACTCCTTTCAGCTTTTGTTTCATATACTTTGTTCAATGTCCAAGCTTCTGATCCATATTTCATAGTGGGAAATATGGACCAAAAAAATAATCTTCTTTGCGAGACAAATTTATTGACGGCAGACCCGGGATTAAAATGACAAAAAATAAGCAGGCGGACGAGAGCAGATTGCAGTGATTTTGGAAAGTTGAACTCAAGAATAAAAAGCAACTCACCAAAAGTTAAAAGTAAATGACAAGAGGCCATACTTTTACATTCATGGGCTTGTTATAATTCCGTAAACAATGGCACAAATACGCTTTTAAAAGAAAAACAATGAACTCATAACTTTTTAGGCTTCAACTCTTTTTGGAAATAATTAACAGGAACTATTTCAGATTCTCTTGTGGCTGGATGACGAAATTCCCAGCAAATGCAAGGCGTGTTTGTTGTCCTTCACCCGCACCTTCAATTAGCACGGTTGGCTACGTACGGTGCGAAAGAAGTTCAACACACATACACACTTTGTTAAGCATCCCCCCCCTAAGGCAGTGGGTAGGTTTTGGAGTGACTAATTGGCAGGGAATGTGCTTTTATAGAGTGCTGGCATTCATATTATGTTCTGTATATATGTATGCATGTGTTCGCATGTAACCTACATGATGCAGACAGCACCGATTAAATTCATCAGCATTCTCATTACGAGGGACGTGTTAAACAACAGTTCAACAGAGTTAAATTGGTCAACTCATAAAACCTATACACTGTAGCGGGTCACGAGGAATGCAGTATGGGGGAAACCATGATGCAGCCAAACGTAAGAGCCAACAGCAATGATTCAAAATTACATGTTTTCACTTCTCAGACATCAGTGCTCGATCTGCACGTTTGAAGTTTGTACTCGGGCGCATTTTGTGGAGTTTGGCAAACCGTAAGCGACTCGCGTCACATCTCAAACATTTGAAATGGCCACCTCCAGCAGCAGCTTTCCCTGTGAGCATAGGGTGACTCGGCACCAGGCCTGCAAACAAACATGAGTGTACGAGTAAGGGAGCGATGATTGATAACTGGTATCCCAATTGCATAAAAAGTATGTATGTTCCGCACCGTACGTAGCCAACTGTGGTAATCGGAGGTGCGAAAATGCAGGTTATGTTTCCAATTTGTCAAATTTTGGACCATGACGCTGGCACACAATGGGCCTACCCATTTTTAAATTATCCGAGAGGATCTTCAACGCTAACTGTGAAGCGGATAACTCGTAGTTGTATTTTATGGTTGATACACCCACAACAATAACCAGGGCAGCCACAGGGCATCAACCGCCAACCCACGCAACGAGCTCGGCGATCTCACTTCCGCCGAGCCACATCCACCATCACCACCACCCCACGCTTGATAAAGGCGCTCCCCTTTGGGTGCGAGCGGAGGCCCTGTGGCGCACCTCATCGGGGATGTCGCGGGCGTCTGGCTGGCTGAGTGCAGCACGGCGGGCCAGGGCGGGCGCCCGCACGTTGCTCAGGTTGATCTGCCGCTCGGGCGGAGGACCCCCCCGGGGCTGCCCGCGGACGATGATCGCGCCGCCGGAGAGCACCTGCGATCCCGGGTGCACAGAGCAAGAAGAGGGCGCGCAGAGACAACGCGTTCGAAAAGTTAACGAGTGTGTGGGAGTGCGGGGGGGAAATCGCATCGCACAAGCAGATTGCGTCACGCTTTCCAACACACATTTTTTTTTTGTCCCAGGATGTATTCAATAGGGCAGTATGGAGCCGGCAAGGGTAGCTTTCGGCTTTTGGATATTTGCAAACGGTTGTTTTTGTGCTGGTTTGTGTCTCTGGGTTTTCATCGATTTGGCCGGTTTTCATTTGGGTCCTTCCGACCAACACCATGATATTAAAGTTGTGTCCATATTGGATCAGCTTTACGAGAGTTAGTGCCCGATCTTACGGACGGACAAAGTGAAAGTACGAATGTGCTTAACCTTGGTTAAAAAGACGTTAAAAACACAACAGCGTGTAACCTTTCCTTCTCTTAAACAAAAGCTTAATTTGTTTGCAATAAGAGTCCCAGCTAATGACTCTTTGTCTGATCAATGTAAGCCTGAAAACCTTCGATAGTCATTCAATTATCCACGTAGTTGCTAACAATGGCATATATCTCTTAATGGTGTTTAACACTTGTTTTGTAATGACTTGTTGGGTTAATACAGAAAGAGTCAACACTGAGCTAATCACCCAAGTCGTGCATTCAAGATTTCTAACCCCGTATGGGTCATTGCAGACATGTGCTGGACTGCTGATTGAACTATTTTCAAAGACAGTGTTCAATTCACAACAATCGTGAATTAAAGTTAACTAGATTCTGAATCAAACTTAGTGGAAATTCCTTTGTAAGGAGTACATTGGGTACTGAAAGTAATGTCTTCAAATGTTGCTCATAAATTGCCCATCTGGAGCAAGGTGTACAATGAGTCTTGCTCTGTGAATAGCGGGATAAGTGGCGCTTCATCGAATTCTGCTAACGACGATTTAATTTACGCATTATTTTTGTGGGTGACGTTTTCATTCAGCAGCCCTAAACAAAGTGTTCCCCTTTTGTTTAAAGTTCACCACCACTAGTTATGCATTACACTTGCGACAGGAAGATCTTTGTAACCAGATAAAACACCGTTGAGCCCCCATACATTGGTCTCTTTCGTAAGGGTTGAGTTTTTAATAATTGACAGAACCATTGGGAAAAAAGTTTCTACGTTACACAATTTTCTTCACCTCCTTCAACTCTACTATCTGAAAAGTCCTAAACGGTCTTTCATCGATATTTTACTTCACTGCACACCACAAACCAAACAGTATACTCCATATAACCTATTGCAATGCTGCATTACATAACATTACAAATGTCCAATTTTCTTTGGCACTGCGGAACAGTAGGCAAAAACACCCCCTAGCTGAGGCCCTTTCATACGCAGTAGCGCAAGTAGGCAATTGCAGATCTGCGCCTTTTGTTTTTACTCTGAACCCATAAAAAATGTAGAACTGTACTTGACCACTGTTATATATTTGTAATTAGGTTATAGTATATTGTTTACACACTACACGTAACTATGTGTGATGTGAGTGCACAAGGCAGTCGTTGTAAGATGTCAACTACCTCGCCTGGTACACAGGAGGTCGTGGGTTCGATCACGACCCTGACGCCTGCTTGTCATGGATTTATATTTGGAGTTTGTGGTGTTTCTCTCCCCGTGGTGGCGTGGGTTTTTCTCCGGGTCCTTCGGTTTTTTTTTGGGTCCCTCCACAGTTACAAATCAAAGTGTGTTTAAGAGTAATTTGGCTGCTATAAACACATTTCCACGTGAATGCGTTTGCGCTTATCATTTGCGATAGTCAGGGTCGCTTCAGAAAAATAGATGCATTAAGCTCAGTGGGCCTTACCTGGTAAGGAAAGAATAAAAGAGATAATTTACTTTAAATCGGGTCTGAGTTTAAACTATTTGTCGATTAACACGAGCCGGATGGCGGCCGGGGGGGGCAGCAAACTCAAGAAAAAAACTTTTTTCAAACCTTATAAACTCAAACGTAATATTCATCGTATGGGGGGCGATGAATACTTGTAATTCCAACACGTAGATGAAGGCATAATTGCGAAGTGAAAACATTTCATTAATCGTTAAAAGCAGAGTAGTGGCTTGGCACATGGGAGGGGGGACACGTCAATGGCGAGGAGTGATGGTGGCTGATGGTTCAGAACAAAGTTGGTGGTGAAGGGGAGCTTGCCAAAGTGGAGAAAAATATAGAATATCCATAAGAAGAGGAGACACGGGAACGATGAAATCAACAGCTTTGTAGCTATTATAGTGCCGGGAAGAAGATGTATATATTAGATCGCGACGGAGTGCCGTGTCCACGTTGGCATTTCATCCAGCAGTGGATTTGGCTTGGTGATAACGGGCGCCGCGTTTATTTAGAAGCATTTACGGTAGTTTTTTTCTCAACTTAATCTCTACTTTTTTGCTAACATATGCTGCAAACATTCGCGGTTTTGTTTCTTCTTAAAACCTTTATTGCGCCGAACGATGGTTAAACAAAAAAAAATTTAGGAGGGAAAATGTTTTTTTTTTAAACATTCGCTTCGACTTTATCAGCCAGTCGGCAAAGAGTTGGGCTAGGTGGTGGTGGTGGTGGGGAACGAGAGGCGATAACAACAACAACAACAAATCTCGTAACAAACAAAAAATGTTTAAATTATTGTCAAAATCTTTGCAACGTTGTGTGGATGTCAAAGGGGAAACGGAAACGCGTGGCGCACATGGCCCGGCCCAGACTCCCACTACCATCATCACCACCATCATCATCACCACTACCATCATCATCACTACCATCATCACCATCATCACTACCACCATCATCACTACCATCACCACTACCATCATCACCATCATCACTATCATCATCACCATCATCATCATCACCATCATCACTACCATCACCATCATCACTACCATCACCACCATCATCACTACCATCATCATCACTACCATCACCACTACCATCATCACCATCATCACTATCATCACCACCATCATCATCACTACCACCATCATCACGGGCAGCAGTAACAACCAAGACCCCCCCACCCACCCACCCCCATTGACTCCCGTAGTGCCAACGTGTCCATACATCCCCCACCACCCGGCGAGGCCTTCACTTCTTCACCACCCCCCTCCTCCTCCCCTCCTCTCTCTCTCTATACCCATACAACTTAGTGGATGGGCTTATTTGTATCGTGTGTTACTGCAAAGATAGTGGGTTGTTGTTGTTGTTGGTGGTGGTTTAGAGTTATAAGAGAATTGCACGAACGACTTCGTGGCGTGAAACGTGTCAAAAGTCAAATAAATTTTAAAAACCCAGCCCCGCCGCTAAAAGAAACGCGACGAGTGTGGGCCGATTTAAAAAGAGTTTTCTTTTTTTAAAACATTCACAGCGGACACACACACACAGAGCTAGAGAAATAAAGAGAGAAATATTCCATGTCTGTGGCAAGACAGAGGGGGAGGAGGAGGAGGAAGGCCCTTCCGTTGGTAGCACGTGAAGTGATGATGGTGGTGGTGGTGGTAGTGGCTTCGGTTGTTGTTTGAGGCTGAGCAAGAAGGGTCTCTTTGTCCGCCTCTCTCTCTAACTCTCTCTCTATCTCTCTATCTCTCACCTGCTTGACGATGCCGCGTTGTGAGACGGGTTGCGTGGGAGCCGCCATGGTTGTCTGTCTGGGGGGGCAGGGGGGGAACTTGGTGGTCGCCGAGCAAAGGAAGTGAGGGCCGCGGCAGCAGCAGCGCCACCACTGATCCACGCCGAGCCGAGCGCGTAACCACGTCCGGGACGGAGGTTACAGACGTGGCACCGCCTCGAACCACGTCCATCACTCCCCCCCCTCCCCTCCTCGCCGCCGCTACCGTCACCGCCGCCTCCTCCCACAACGTGCTCGGCACGCCTCCCTCCCGGCCGGCTGTCTCCACTCTGCGCGTCACCGCAAGGATGATGATGGTGGTGATGGTGGTGGTGATGATTGTGGTGATGCTGGTGGTTGTGGTGGTGGTGATGATGGTGGTGGTGGTGATTGTGGTGGTGGTGGTGATTGTGGTGTTGATGGTGGTGGTGGTGGTGATGGTGGTGGTGATTGTGGTGATGGTAGTGGTGATGGTAGTGGTGATGATGATGGTGGTGGTGGTGGTGATGATGGTGGTGGTGATGGTGGTGATTGTGGTGGTGGTGGTGGTGATTGTGGTGATGATGGTGATGATGGTGGTGGTGATGATGATGGTGGTGGTGATGGTGATGATGATGATGGTGGTGGTGGTGGTGATGATGGTGATTGTGGTGATGATGATGGTGGTGGTGATGATGGTGATGATGATGGTGGTGGTGGTGATGGTGGTGGTGGATATGATGGTGGTGGTGGTGGTGATGATGGTGATTGTGGTGATGATGATGGTGGTGGTGATGATGGTGATGATGATGGTGGTGGTGGTGATGGTGGTGGTGGATATGATGGTGGTGGTGGTGGTGATGATGGTGATGATGGTGGTGGTGGTGGTGGTGATGATGGTGGTGGTGATGGTGGTGATTGTGGTGGTGGTGGTGGTGGTGATTGTGGTGATGATGGTGATGATGGTGGTGGTGATGATGATGGTGGTGGTGATGGTGATGATGATGGTGGTGGTGGTGGTGGTGATGATGGTGATTGTGGTGATGATGATGATGGTGGTGGTGATGATGGTGATGATGATGGTGGTGGTGGTGATGGTGGATATGATGGTGGTGGTGGTGGTGATGATGGTGATTGTGGTGATGATGATGGTGGTGGTGATGATGGTGATGATGATGGTGGTGGTGGTGATGGTGGTGGTGGATATGATGGTGGTGGTGGTGGTGATGATGGTGATGATGGTGGTGGTGATGATGATGATGGTGGTGGTGGTGATGATGGTGATGATGATGGTGGTGGTGATGATGATGGTGGTGGTGGTGATGATGGTGGTGGATATGATGGTGGTGGTGCGTTATATGGGTGATGGTGGTGGTGCGTTATATGGGTGGTGGTGGTGATGGTTGTGGTGGTGGTGGTGATGGTGGTGGTGGTGATGATGATGATGGTGGTGGTGATGGTGATGATGGTGGTGGTGGTGATGATGGTGGTGGTGGTGGTGATGATGGTGGTGGTGATGGTGGTGATGATGGTGATGGTGGTGATGATGGTGGTGGTGGTGATGGTGGTGGTGGTGATGATGGTGGTTATGATGGTGGTGCGTTATATGGGTGATGATGATGGTGGTGATGATGGTGGTGGTGATGGTCGTGGTGATGGTGGTGGTGGTGATTATGGTGGTGGTGGTGATGGTTTGGTGCGTTATATTGGTGATGGTGGTGGTGGTTTGATGCGTTATATGGGTGGTGGTGCGTTATATGGGTGGTGGTGATGATGGTGGTGGTGTTGACGTGGCTTTGGGGTGGGGGGTAGCGGTTAGCACGCTGAGCTACGAACCCGGCGACCCGAGTTCAATTCCCGCTCACGGCCAACACCGGTGGCGATTTGTCTGAATCGGTCCTGGGCACCCCCCCCCCACCCCTAGGTCGACTCGGCCTTAAATGAGCACACCGGGTGGCGATGTTGTGAGCCACTTCATGAATCCCAATGGCCACTGATCCCCTCGTGTGCCTTAATAGGTGCTTGCTAACAGCACTTGCCTCTTAGGTATTTGCAGGCTATACGGGGTACCTTTGTCTTTGTTGACACGTGGCTTCGGGTCACGGGATCGGGATGCACGCTGCCACGAGAATGTGCGTCTGGGGGTCACGCCCCCCCCCCAACCTCGTTCACATAACTAAACAAATCTGTGCATCTACAACAAAAACTAATTATTAAAATGATAAGAACAGATGCTTCACTTGATCTTAGCCAAAAGGCCAAGGAAGCGATGGGGGGGAAGAATTATCAAATGTATCATGGGACCTTTTTGCCAGGACCAAAGTGTGAAACATAATAGGTTTTCCCCATTCTGCCAATAGAACAGGTGTCAAGATGTTCAAACGCGTACTTGCTGCGAACAAGTACATGTGGTTAATGCAGACTTGATTCCTTGTGATAGGTATAATCCGTAATAGAGGGTTTTTTGGGGGTTATATCGCGTAAATATAAATGTGTCGTTAAACCCGCCACCAATCGACACAGCCAATTAGTAAGGTTTGTCACGTAAACAGAACATGCCTGATGATTGTGAATATAGGTGAGGCGACAGCCAGATTTGACTGTCGCCTGATGAAGCTAGTTGTAATTACTAGCGAAACGTCGTACTCAGATTGTAAATGTTGTGGCTTGGCTCTCCAACACACCGGTGTGCTGTACAAATAACGAATTGGCAAGTTCTGTTTACGTGACAAACCTTGCTAATTGGCTGTGTCGGGTGGTGGCAGGTTTAACGACACATTTACACGATCTAACCCAAAAAAAACTGTATTATGGATGATATTTTTGGTGTTTGAACATCTTAACACCTGTTTTATTACCCAAAAGGGTAAACCCTATTCTTATTTTTCATATTGTAAAGATGTTTGCATATTGTGAGTATAGGTCAGTCATTTAAAGCCACTGGGTAATAGCCAGAATGATTGAATTCACAGTATAGTATTTTACTCTTAAATTATTGTGAAAATCATTTTTAGAAATCAGAACAACACAATCATGATTGATGGTGATCTTGATGTCGTCTTACTCATGAACTGAGAGGCAAACGTTCTAACATCTCATGTGCTATGAAGTTGAGCCATTACCCGAAACGTTGCCTATTTTTTCCTTTTAAGGCGACATTGTTATTTAAAAAACGTGTTGAGTGTTGTTGTTAATTATGATTGCATACCACTGCCAACGCAGCAGCAAAATCTGGTGCGGGAAAACTCACCGTACCAATTAAAGTTTGGGTATAACAGTGTTTTAAAATAAAAGCAAATGGTAAAATGTTATATATCGTGAAGAATAGAGAAACTGCATTTAATAACAATATATTTGATTATAACCGGCTGAGAGAGCCCATTCACACTTCAAGCCTCTTTTCAAGTAAAATCTTGGACACAAAAGCCAATACCGTACACTCCAGCAAAAGCTATGCAGGTGCATCCATTCAAAGGCGGGGAGCGCCCACACTTTAGTAAGAACATTTGTTACCGTGCACTCTTATGAGTCCAGTTCATCACGAAAACGCATTGATCATGCGTTGAAGTAGGCTCTGAAACAACACTGTTTTGAGTCTGTTGCGAAACTGGCTTAGATTCAGGGATGAATCTCGAACATGAGCTGGTAGCGTGATCGAGGTCGTTGGGCCAGAGACCCCGAAACTCCACTGGCGGGTACAGCAGCAGGTCACTGCCCGCAGCCACGGATCGTAGTCGGAGTCGATGTGGGTCTGTTGAAGCTGGTACGCACTGATCGGCGAGATAGGACGGACCAGATGGATGGAGACTCTTGTGGGAATAATAAGTCCGCGATCTTGTATTTATTTAGGTGGCCAGTGCAGCTCATCGCGTATCAAAGCTCGTGATGGGATCATATTTCTGTTTCCTATCAGACGAGCTGCGGCATTTTACAACGACTGCAGTGGCCGCAGGTGAACGGAGCTGGCACAGCCGAAGATGGCTCATGCCAGTAAGTCCACGTGGCTGATGAATGCTGTGGACGAGTACCATCGGAGTCTCCGCAGATAGGGCACGACGGACCGTGCGCAGTTGTCGAAGCTGGTAGAAGCACCGTCCAGTCAGGCGCCTAATGCGAATGTCAGTTCGCTGCTATCGACAAGGACACCAAGGCATGTTGCCTTTGGGGCCGTCCATAAATGACGTCACGCACCTGGGGGGTGGGAGGGGTCAGACATTTGTGACGACTGTGTGACAAGGGGGGGTGGGGGTCTTGAGAAATGTGACTGTGACGTCACGTAAAAATGCGCAACTTTAAATAAATATAGACAACACGTTCTACTTAATTAAATAGACTTTTTAATACATGTTTTCTCCTACAACATCAGAGTGCAGCGCCACATTAAATACGCACTACAATGACAATAGTTTAAATAGATTTGAAGCATGTTTTATAATTTTTTGGGGGGGGGCAGAGCTTTGTGACGTCATATTTGAGGGGGGGGGTCTGGCTTTTTGTGATGCCGCGTGACGAGAGGGGGGGGTCAAAAATCGTCCAAAATCGCTTGACGTCATTTATGGACGGCCCCTTGTCCGACACTGGGATGTCGCAGTTGTCTTTGTGGATAGGCTCACGTTTGACTCTAGACAGGTGATGGCGGGTCCCAAGCACGATGAATTTAGTCTTAATCCAGTTAAGCTTCAGATGGTTTGATGTCATCCAGTTCCATATGTCGTTTAGACACAATATGAGGCGTGGCACGTGTGAGACGTACGAGTCAGCTTTTGTATGGAAGTAAAGTTGTGTGTGTCGTCGGCATATGAATGCACGCCGATGCTATACCGGCGGGCGATGCCGATGGCATCAGCGGTGTCAAGTAGGAAGAGCACCGGGGCCAAGGACACGTCTCTGCAGCACACCGCACGTCACCGATGACCTGCGTGACAGGTTACCGGCAAAATTGACCCTTTGTATCCGACCTGTAATGAAGGACTCAATCCATGAAAGCACGGTACCTTGTATACCATCAGCAGTTCGGAGGCGGCTGACTAAGATGATATGATCAACCGTGTCAACAGCAACAGACAGGTCAAGTAAGCAAATATGCGTGATTTCCCCACGGTCAGCTGCCATGAGTGCATTGTGGTTGACCTTGAAAACGTCTGCCCGCACTCTCTGGCTCATGAGCTCCATAGAG